TCTTTCCTTCCTCTCACGATGGCTGGTTCAAACTCCAGAAGGCTAACAGTAGTTCTCAGCAACCCCCTGCCAGCCACCAGTGCTGCAAAGCAGATGACAAAGTACACATATAGACTGGGTGAAACCAGGCTTAATACCAGTAACTGTGACAGGGATCTTGAAGCCTTAGTGGACAAGCAATTAAATATGAGCCAACAGTGTGCAACGGCAGTCAAAAAAGTCAATGCAATCCTAAATTGCATTAACAGAGGGATACAATCAAAATCAAGTGAGGTACTAATACTACTCTATCAAGCCTTAGTAAGACCACACCTAGAATACTGCATCCAGTTTTGGTCACCACACTATAAAAAAGTTGTTGAGACTCTGGAAAAAGTGCAGAGAAGAGCAACCAGGATGATTAGGGGACTGGAGACTACAACATTTGAGGAACAATTTCAGGAACTGGGCGTGGCTAGTCTAGTGAAGACCAGGGGAGATATGATAGCAGTGTTCCAATATTTGAGAGGCTGCTACAGAAAGGATGGGATCAACCTATTTTCCAAATCACCTGAAGGACAGACAAGGAATAATGGATGGGAACTGAACAAGGAGAGATTCAACCTAGAAATAAGGATAAATTTTCTGACAGAGGGAACAATCAATGGATGGAACAACTTTCCTTCAGAAGTTGTGGAAGCTTCAGCACTGGAAGCTTTCAAGAAGAGCCTGGACTGCCATCTGTCAGAAATAGTGTAGGGTCTCCTGCTTGGCCAGGGGTTTGAAGTAGATGACCTACGAGATCCCTTTCAACTGTTAATCTGTTTTTTAAAAAGCTGAAGCTTACCTAAATTCAAGATTTCACCAAAACACGTCATCTTTCTGGCTTGACTTTTTCTTACTCAATTTTCAATTATATTACACACCCTGTAAACAGACTTTCCTGCCAATCAGAGAGCAGGTCCAGGCAGTGTAACTGTGGGCAAACTAATCTACTAGTAATTTAAACCCTTTTTATTGACTTTTCATTTTTCCTTCCAAGATTTCCAGTTTGCAATACTTTCTTTTAAAGTCAAGCTTGTATGTGCATACACAAGCACAAAGTCATCAGATTGTATTGGAAATTATGATAGTTTGGAGGGAGGGATTTAAATTTAATAACTGAAGTTTAAAGCTTGCATGTTAAGAAGTCAAAGAAAAAGGTGCATTAGAAACTTTAAAAAAGGGTTTAAAGAAAGTTTAGCACTTTAAAAAAGGGTTTAAAGAAAGTTTAGCACTTCAAAAAAAGGTGGGAAAAGTGGTTTTTTTTTAAATAAGGCCAAGGAATCTGAAAGAATACAATGAAATCTTATTAATAAAAATGGTAACAGTTCACAAAGATTATTAGGTGAAAATAGAAATACATACTATTTCCATAGCAAGGAAGATAAAGCAGGAATGCTTAAATTGATTATTTTATTCAAAGAGGAAAATATATTTTCATTTGGATATCATTCTGGATTTGGTGCTTATGATGAAAAGAAATGAAACTTTGGCTCTGTTGATCAGAGAGATTTGTCGTTATAGAAATGGCTAGTTATATATTAATGTGTAAAAGCAAAACGTTTACGTTGGAGTGTTTTTATCTTGTAATGTGCTAAGAAGAGTCGGAATTCAACACCTTTTTTTCTTTTTTCCTCCCTTATATCTCACACCTCCTTTTCCCCACTCCTTTTCCTTCCCTTAATTTCCTATTTATATTTTTTCTTTGCATTTTATATAATCAAACAAATAAAAAATTTGAAAGATTGGATTGGAAATTAGTTACAGAGTGATAATACAAATTAAACTGAGGAGTGGCAGGAAAGGAAAATCATTGTTTCAAGGTGAGCTATAATTTTCTGTCTTCTGCAGCATTCAGGTAAGTAATTACATCAGTAAATTGTGTGATCAGCCATGCTTTTCCACTAGACAAAAAGTGTTCAAGTGGATTTACCAATTTTTGCTCCAATTTTTGATGAAAATCTTTCCTGAGAGCATAGAATTTATTTTTGCTACTGAAAATGTATTTTTCCAATTGATGAGTTTGCCTATATTTCACTAAATCAGCTAATTTAGTAGTCAAAAATATAACAAAAGCAAAAAATGCCTTTAACAGTGGTCAACATATGCTAGAAAAACATTTTAAAAATTTGACTAAAGCTTCTTTTTCACTCCAGATTCAAATTAAAGGCAAACTCATATATGGAATCCGATGAAAAGCAAGAGAGCATACACTGGAGATTATGAAAGCTGCCAATGGAGAAAGTACTTTCTTTGCAGAGAATACATGCTGTATTCTCATCACACTACTATTACTTTGTCCTGTAAAAGAATACCTAGGAGTTAGGCCTGGAAGGGAAAGGCAACACTGGGGAAAATTATTCTGCTGAGAAGCCTTCCCATTGACAGATGCCAAGATTCCACATACAAGGACTTTTCAGCTCATAGATCTGTACAATTATACTCAAGATGCACGTTTTGACTGTTCTTATATAAAGTTCTCTTGATATAGAATTGTGAACAGAAATCAAATATAGTCAGGCTAGAATTGGTTTTAGCTTCCACTGCACCATGTAGGCCAGAGGGAATGATTGCACCATTCAAACAATTGAGATACATACCCTGATTTTCATTAGTAGGACAAATAGCAATCAATGATACTGTGTGAATATTATTCATTGTTGAGATATATAGGTTTTGGCCTTCCTGGTTGATGTCACATTGGAGCAGTTGCAGGGAAGCGAGTCTCCATTCTCCCTGTCTGATTTTTCGTGTCTGGAGGCTGTCAGCAGCAAAGCTGAGCCTTGGAGAGGACAGCTATAGTGAGGGGAATATCCAGGGGTGACGAGGAGAAAGCAATCTCCCCATTGTGAAGGGTGGAATCCCTGAAATCCACAGAAGAGACCAGCTGTTATAGCTTGGTCATGGCCTGGTCCTGATGTAACAGCCTGATTAATGGTGGAGGCAGCAAAAAGTGAGAAGCGGCAGAAGTATAAACGGACAGTGTTGAATAACCTGAAACTTCTCCAAGTTGGTGGAATTTACAATAGAGCAATTAATTGAGTCTCCAAAGAGGGGAAAACAGCGCCTGTAGGGGGGAGCAGAAACACGAAGAAGATGAATTACAGAATCTGTAGAGAGTGAAAGTGATTGCGGTTGCAGAGTGGAGAATTTCTACTGATTTCTGAGACTGGATGTCCGGTGATATAAATTGAGAGTTTTGTGTGGGTGGTGAACGGATTGAGAAAGAAGGAAGAATAGATTCCCTTTGCAACAGGAGAGACAGAAGGGAAAGAAAATAAAGAGAGAGGACAGTGACTGTGCAATTTGAGGACAGCAGTAATTTTGAGCACAGGGAACAGGGAACAGAGAAGTTGCAAGGAAGTAGAGAGATCGAGGAATAAGAACTGTGGTATTCCCAACGGAAGACTTTGGATTGGACTCATTTAGAACCAGCTTTGTACACTTCAGATATCTTTACACTATTTATGGTATTTAAATGTTATATCTACCATGGTGATCTTTAGATCAAAGAATTTAATATTTTATAATCTATACATTTTATACATTTTATATACTTATACTCTACATATATTTAATATATTCAAATATATTTATAGCCACTTCCTTTATTACTGCATATTAAAAAATCTATCTAGCCTTAAAGTAGGAACTATTGATTAATAGTAACCTTTAATTAATTAATTGATTAATTGCATATACCAATTTATTTATTTGTGAATTTTAGTAGATTTATTATATAGTAAAAAAGTGTAATAGACTATTTAACTACTTATAGATATTACAAATATTTATTTATCTCTCTCTTTCATTCCCTCTCTCCCTTTAATGCAGTTAAGTTAGGAAAATCTATAAAAATTAACTACATATAATAATTTATCATTGTGATTTACATATATAACTGTCTATATAATTGTTTATAGAAAATTGATATTAAGGATTGGATTTAATCAGTGATCTATACGACATTACCATTGTTAACTATCAGATTAAAAAAGGAGAGAAGAGAAGGGATAGTGACTAAGGAAGAACCTAGAGTGAAAGACTGAAAACTTATGGTACTGTGGAATAATTTTTTCCAAAAGCTAAAGATGGCAAACACATCCACAGTTACCAAAACTGTAAAGAAAATGCTGCCAATGATAGCTTCTCCAGCAGGACAAAAGTTAACAGACA